AGTAGATATGGAAGCTGCAAGGAACTAGGAACAATATCAGAAAGAAGCTTAGAAGTTCTAAAATTAAAATCCTGGAAAAAATGTCTGGCACTCAAAAAAAAAAATCGCCTGATTGGGCCTCTTTAGAAAAAAATTATTACATCCAATATGAGAGTTCCACTGGAACTAAATTTATTTTACTTAGCATCTGGTTCTTATTATTTGCGGACAGATCTCAAGAACAGTGCCAGAATGTGATCTTCGATGTGGATTTAAGAAAGGTGACATCCTTTACAATTCAATCTTAATCCATTCTGGCTCGTCTGGCTATTACCAGCATTTCACATTTGCTTCAGAAATGGACAAAACCATTCCCAACGTCTTTGTATCAGTGACAAAGCGCTGCAATAGTCATTGTATCAGCCAATCTAAATGAATATTATTTACATATGACATGGAGGGGAGATTCATATCTGCAAATCTTTATGCTAATAGTGGCGTCATTCCAATACATCACTTCTGTACAGGCTGGCCACACAATTAATATTTTCTCCTCTAAATATGAGTTCTAAATAGCAATATTCATAGCCACCTGCAATGTTTAACTGCAGAAAAACATTTTAATTGATGAAATAACCCACCTTCTTGCAGACTATGTCTTGTATCAGGGTGAGCAATCTGAATTCAATTTGCATCTCTGACTACTATTTCTGTACACATGAAATCAATAGTTTAGTATTAATTTTACTTTAATTTCTGAAATCTACAAACCTGCGGAAAACCTATTGTCCCTGATCTTGTACACAATGTGACCTCACTCACTTCCTTCATTGCCGCCCTGCTTGCAGACAGCCAGGCAGGCCTGTAGCCAACAGTTTCCTATCCCTTGCTACTTTGCTAGGGAGTTTTCAGAAATAGAATCTTAACACATCCAGAGGGCTCTAAGTTAAGGCTGACTGGCTTTTTTTAATTGCACTATCAGGTATTTGTTGCAAGCAGATATTCTTATGCATAACATTTCTTAATACTAGTTCTGCTCCACACATGGGTGTCCAGAGAGGAGAATGGGGGGAAATTACAAAAGAAAAATTACAAAAAATTACAAAAAAAATAATTACAAAATCATACAAAGACAGCGATGTATATACTTGTTTCAGACCATGGGGTACAAAAACATAAAAATGACATTTTCATGATGTCACTGCATGCAGAACATCAATTTTGGCATAGTGCTGGTTTGCTGCATAGGCCACTGCACACATGATAATAAGAAATTCTAAGTAGTGGATCACAACTTGCATTCGCCATCACTCTTTGCACATTCAATAAAATTGCCTAAGTGAAAGGAAATATTCTGAGAATTCAGGGAGAAATATAACTCAATATTTTGGGGGGATCGTTGGAGACCATCCAGTGCTATAGTTATTTCCTTGGAAGAGATATGGCTGAAATTTGTTGGCCTTTTTTTTTTTAGCATTTAAGGCAGAAGATATCTACAGACCCCTCACATCCTGGACATAAACTGTTTCAATTCCTCCCTCAGGATGGCACTATAGGGCATTGCATGCCAAAACTAGACACAAAAATAGTTTTTTCCCTCATGCAATCACTCTGCTGAACACCTAATTCTCACAGTGCTGTCTAATGTTTATGCATATTTAACTATGTAGTATTATTAATTATCTTTATTATCTTCTTTACTATACCCTTTTATTGATATTATTATGATTATTATTCTGTTGCTTTGCATGTACACTGAGCATTTCTGCACTGGAGGCAAATTCCTTGTGTGTCTAATCACATTTGGCCAAATGAAATATTCAATTCTGTTCAGTTCGGTTCAATTCAATGCAATTTTAAACCTGAGAATGAGAGTGGAAGGTATGCAAATGACAATCCACTACTATTCTCACTCTTTAAAAACCCCAAACCTCTCAAAATGATTTAAAAGCACATTTTGTTGACTTTACTGTGTCTGGCTATAGTTTTTGGCTATAAATGTAGTTCTCTAAAATTCAACTATTTTAATCACTGAATATTGATCTCAGGATGCTATTCATTTGCTGATCTGTGAATTAACAAAACAGGCCAATCTTTTTGAAGATGAATAGGTTAACTGGAAATTGGCTAATATAGCCACAGAAGTATTGAGCTGGCTGCATTTTATCCAGTAGCAAAGGAAATATGTTTAGTACTGGAGCATGTATTTTATACTGTACATGTGAATCTGCTCAAGCCAGAAGACAAGCAAGCAATCACCTTTGCAATGGCATTGCTGTTGTATGAAGCAGATATACTGTATGTATGCTATATTTTCTTTGTTTAGCTACTACTATTGTGTTTTAAAGAAGTATCACATGCATTCCTCTTAAATAAATTGTCTGAGATCACATTCTGGTAAACTTAAGCAGGATTTAAAATACCACCACTTTACTTAATCTCTTTTCTGAGTAGCTAGGCACTTCTTCAACAAAGCGCAAAGCTGCAACCACTTACTATTTTGTTATTTAGATACAGATTCTGATTATTACATTTGAAGTTATTAACCTTTCATGTTATTAAAGCTCTATATTTTGATGGGTGATCTTAAATTGGATTATATAATAGGGTTTTTTGGCAATTTCTTTATATATTTTATAAATTGACCTGTGTCTAGTCAAAAGGGCATGTCAAAATATTATGATTACTAGGTTTTTTTTAAAAAAAATATATACTCTTACACTTGCTTAAAGTGTAACATATGCCTAATACAGCAGCAGCAGCAGCCAACAATTAGCAGTTAGATTAACAATTAGATTAACAATCCAACAATTGGATTAATTACAGAAAGTTAAGATACAGGTGGTCTTCCCTTATTTCTTGTGACAAGCTTGGATTGGGGAGAAAAAATGGCAGCAAAAAGGGGCAGGTCTGAAATAACTATCTGGAGGGACCAAAAGGTATTGTTGGTATTATTATGATTATTATACTGTTGCTTTGCATGTACACTGAGAGTTTCTGCACCGGAGAATTCCTTGTGTTTCTAATCACATTTGGCCAAATGAAATACTCAATTCAGTTTAGTTCAGTTCAATTCAATGCAATTTTAAAGCTGAGAATGAGAGTGGAAGGTATGCAAAAGACAACCCACTACTATTCACACTCTTAAAATGATTTAAAACATTTCATTGTGATGACATGAGCCAAAACTGAAAATCATCAGTAAGTCGGCAGCAAGACTACTTTATGCACAAAAATGGAAGGCCTCTTTGATTCCCACAATGGACGAATGGCTGCACAAGTTGATAGAGTTAGCAGAGATGGCTAAATTGACTGCTTTGATAAAAGAAAAAAACATAAATACTTTTGTTTCTAACTGGAAACAGCTTCTGGACTTTGTGCTTGAGGTGGAAAAAATGAAACTTTGATTTTGGGTTTTAGTGATTAGATAGATCTATTGTTATAGAAATGGCTAGTTTACACTAGTATGTAAAAGTAAAAAAATGAGGTTTGATGTTATTATCTTGTTCTACTGAACCAAAGGGAATCGGAAGTCAATGCCTTTTTCCCCCCTTTTTTCCTGCACTCTTCCTTTCCTTTTTTCCTCCCCTATTTTTCTTACTATTTGCTTTTGTATTTTTGTATATTATAAACTAATAAAAAATGGAAATGGAAAAAAAATCACTGATCATTATAGTAATTCTCAGGTGAGGGAGGAAATGAGAATATCCAGTGACAGAAAACAAAATTTATAGTTTTTTCAGGAGCCCGCTATTTCTGAAAAATATTTTATCCTGGATATTTTGTTTTTATAGACACTGGAGAATTCAGCAACCCTTCAGCTCTTACTGCCTACCTCAGAATATGGAAGAAGGATCCAACAATTGATAAAATCTTGCAGTTCATCTGCCATGTGCAAGTTTAGGTAGAAATAAATTTCAGTCATCTCTCAAGTAAAAGAAGAGCAATGACTCTGACATAACTTCCATGTATTTAAACTACAGTATAGTATTAGTGGGTAGTCTTTGACTTGCAACCATGAGCTCAAAATTTCTGTTGCTAAGCGAGACAGTTGTGAAGTGAATTTTCCCCATTTTATGACATTTCTTGCCACAGCTGTTAAGTGCTCTGCAGTTGCGTTAGGAACATGGTTAAGCCAATTTGACTTCCCTTGACAGATTACAAAAAGTGATCACATGACCCTGGAACACTACAAAACTGTCATAAATATGAACCAGTTGCCAAGCTTCCGCATTTTGATCTTTTGACCACAGGGATGCTGTAGTGATCGTAAGTGTGAAAAATGGTCATAAATCACTTTTTCAGTGCCAATGTAACTTTGAATGGTCACTAAATGAATGGTTGTTAAGTCCAAGACTACCACTTTTGGCTAGATAACCATCAATAATATAAATTGTTTTTTAAGCATGTGAGACAAAATGGTACTTGTTACTTGTTAATTTTCTAGACTCTCAATAAAAGCCAGTTTAATGTGTAATAATGAAGGCACCAGGCTGAAAACGGAGAAACTCCGAGTTCTATTCCAATTTTGGATATAAAACCAATTGGAGTTTAGGCCAGTCATTCTCTCTGGGCCTAGGAAGCAGGCAAGGGCAAATCATTTCTGCAAACATGGCCAGGAGTAAAGGCTGACTTGATGGCGCCGACACACAAAAAAGAATCCTGAAACCGGCCACCTCAGAATCGGTCGCACGTTTTCCGTCTCAAAATCTTTCTGTATGCAAGGATTTTCTGAAAGGAATAAATCTAAACCGCGGGGCTGTTTTTTTTTTTCCTTCTTCCCCCAATAGGGGTTGTCTGGGAGACCTTCTAAGAAGCTGAGCCGGCGACAGGAAAAAGACTACAGATTATGCCTGGGAAACAAAAACATAAAAACTACGTTTCTGGCGGGAAAGCCACAACGGGGAAACCCTCGCAACGACCGAGCTGGCGCAGAGACAGGCGCCGTCCCAGGGTGGCGCGCGCCCGGTGCTAGCAAGCCGGCGCGCGCCCGGCGCGCTCCCTCCTGCCCAAAAGCTATTGTTTCCTTTCCTTGGCGGCCTCAATGGAAACTCCCTCCTCCCTTCTGTTGCCCGGGCTGCGCCGGGCTATTTATACAGCTTGGCGCTGCCGTCACGGAGAGCCGTTTCGCTGACGAGGGATTGACGCTCTTGGCTACCGGAGCCGGGCTTGCGGTTACAATGGGCGCTTTGTGTGAAGCGACTCGGGGGCTTGGAAGAAACGGCGGGGAAGGAAGACCGTCGCCTTTTGGCCGCCCGTTTGCACCCCGAAACCTTCCTCAGAAGAGGCGCCGCGGCGAGAGCCCCCTGGAGGTAGCCGCTTGCCTCTGAGGCGAAAGGTTACGCCCGGGAAGGAGTTTAGCGACTGGTTTAGAGAAGAAAGGGGGCGCGGGAAGCGGGCATTGACCAGAAAAGCCCGGGCTTCTGGCGGAGCCCAGGAAAAGGTAACAATCACTATTATCATCATCCATTCACAACAATGTGAAGTCGTAGCTGCCAGTTCTGTAGCCGGTGTTGGCCTTCATGCGCTCCGAGTTCTTTCCAAGAACCTAGATTGTCGTAATGGAGCGGCGTAGCGTATGTGCGGCTATTATTATTTATTATTAGTGTGTGGGCGGAGGCGGGAAGGCGCACCATCGAGCAAGCTGCAGGAAGCCCGCGCTTCCGGAAAAGTAAGTTCTTCGTTTGAACCCACTCTCGTGGGGGGGGGGAAGGAGGAGCTTCTCACCTTTGTCCCCACCCCTAAATGAACCCGCTGTTTCTAGCTCGAGAAGACTTCAGGGGGCGGGGAGGAGCTCTTTCTACGCCTTTGGAAGCTTCCGGGGGAAAAAAGCCTTTAGGAACTGCAGCGTCGTGGTGGAAGCTTTACGGATCTTTTTCCTCAATACGTGTGTTCATCAATCCGCGCTTTTGTTTTTAACCGTACAGCAAATTTTCCTGTAAAAATCTCGCCTAATAATATCACCCCCTGCTCCCTCTCCCTTTTAATCCCCTCGTTATGCCTTGCAGACGGAGAAACGGGTCTATCTGCTGACAGTGAAAATCTCTCTTTTTTCTTCATTTAGTTGACAATAGCTTTCAGCGCAGCTGGATTTCCACTAGGTGCAGATGTTGCTAATGGCAGCTTAAGCATGGATGGGCAGATAACATATGGAATGCAACATGTTGCCATATGGTCCCTTTAGCCTTTCACCTCCAAGAATATCAATCAAATATATTCGGGGGGGGGGGATTTAATGACTCTGAACAAGAAGATGAATTGCATTGGACAATTTATATTCCTTGACCTAAGACTTTTAAAATCAGTAAGGTGGCAATCCTATGCACACATACCCGGGAAGTAAATGTGATTGCACTGAATGGGGATGGATTGTGAGGAAATACATAGGGTATTGAACAGAGTGGATCTTACAGTATGCCTAGTAAGAATGAGAGCAAAATGCAGAAGGACTTCAAAAGGTATAAACATTTATTTGTCAGCTAGGAGCCTGGAAACTGTCAAAATATGTTATATGGCCTAGTCCCCTTAATATAACCTGGCAGACAAAGAAGAATTACATGTATTTAATATTACAATATCTTATTAAAATATTAACATCACATTCAATTTCTCTGTGTTTATACTTTACATTTTTTCTGTCCCAGAAAATGAGGTAAATGTTTAGTAAAAGCTGAAGGAAGCTAATTGTGTTTTGTTGTCTTTTAAGGTTACATTTTCACATGATTTTTTAAAAAGCATATTTATCTCAATTACCTAATCAGACTCCATAACAATTATAAAAAGGATTACTTATCCTCTTTTGAAATATATTTATACCTTAGCAATTCATATTTATTTGTTAGCAGAGATACCATTATATAAACTATTAAAAACCTTATATACAATATTTTCTTTGGGGTTGTTTTCAGATTCTTGTTGGTGGATTAGTTCCAAAAGTAATAGAATGCATTCACTGAAATCAATGAAACAACATGACAAAGTCCCATAGATTTAATAAGGTTAATCTTAACTAAGAAATTTGAAATCAAACTAATGGGTGTAGAATAGCATTCTTTATGTTTAAAACATGCATTTCTAGGAGGGAAATCCTGTTGAATTTTACAGAGTTGACTTCAGAATAAACATGCATAGTCCTTAAAATAGTATTTTTAAGGGATTTGTCTTTATCATTCTTGCCTGCCTCAGGTTCTGCATTTTGAACTACCTTAGAAAAATGTTGTTTTTTGCATAAAGACTTTACAGAGCTCATATTTAATGGAAAGTACTATAATGTGTTTAGATATTGGACATTGCTTCTAAATGCTGCAATTTTCCATAATTTCCGATTCTGACATAAAAGAGGCAGAAAATATTTCAAGATTTTTTTAACCCTATCTTGTTGCCAACTTTTTATTTATAGTTTCAGAACATATGCTTCTCCCTTATATTTAATTATTGTTCACAAACTATAGATGCAATCCAGTCTAATAATTAAGGAGAGATTTAATAAGAAAGAAAAAAGGTTTCACTTTTGAGTCCTATTACAGTATTTTATTTCTGCAACGGACTGGATGAAGCTATCCTAGGCTGCAACTTCTAGGATTTAATCAGTTCTTTTTCTCCAAGTTTCTGTAGCATTTGATTTTTTTGGGGAGATGAGCATATAATCATTCCAAATCGCTACCATTTATATAATGAACTATCAAAAGAATGATTTAACATCCACGGATATAAAAATGGAGATAATTTTGCCTTTAGTTTAAAATTTAAAACAGCAGTCCAAAGCTGCCTTTAGGCAGGTGCACATGTAAGTGAGCATCTCTAGACAAGATACTTGCAGAGTCAATATATCTTAACAATGCATGTGTAATCTTAGTCCAGTATTCCCCCATCCCACCACACATGCCCCTTGCAATTACAAAAGAGTGGCAGGGGGAGCATGTTGTAGTAGGTTGGGACTTTAAAAACCTTTCCTTCTCAACTTCTGCTAGTATAAAATACCCTTCCAGAAAGTAGTTTTTTATAGAGAAGAACTCTTATACACTAATGTTACCTGTATCAGCAGTGTAATGTGTAGTTTAGCTAAGTGAATGTTGAGTTTTCTATTAATTGAGAAAGCATTTTCACTATCCTTCTGAACCTTAATATAGGCTCTTTAAGAAGCTCTGATACATTGTCTGCTGTTAGAAGTAAATATTTTGCATATAAACAGTGCAGAAACATTTCCCATATTGGATTTTATTATAAGAGCTGACATGGAAAGTATTATGTTAATTTGAAGATTTCTCTTATTCTCTAAATAGGAATAATTTTGGGGCCATTAAAGGGTAGAAACTAGTTAGAAACAATGCCCAGATGAAATATATTTTAATATGGATCTTCTAAAATGTGGCTTCCACTGGCTCAGAATATTCTTCATTCACCTTTTCATGTGCTCAATTGTCCCTAAATACTACTGCTGATAACACAATGGCATATGCCTTTCATCACAAAGGCAAACATACAATAAATACTTCATTCTATGGATTCTAATATTTTCGTGTAAATATTACTCTGGCTTTATTGCAGTTGCTGCCTTCTTGATATTAATATTTTGACACTCTTTTTTCTTATATATTCCTAATCATAGGTGACCATTATGTTTTAAGAACAAAAAATTGAAGGGCTTTTCCTCAAAGCAATTCACTAGATTAACATTATTTTTAATCTTCCAAATTAATATGTTCTGAAACATACTTTGCTGGGATACTGTTAGGTTACAAGGATGCAGGTGGTCCTCAATGTACAATGGCATTTGAGACCAAAATTGTACTTGGCAACCAGAATGCCAGACACTGTCAGTTTGAAGATGGAGATGTTTTTTGCACGTAATTCTATAAAATGTCAAATTGCTTTTCCTTTATAATTCCAGTTCTAGAAAGTGAATCTCTTACACTGAATTCTGTGTACAGCTATTTAGGTATCAGAAGGCATGATTTTGTCACATCTATAAAAACTGTTTGCATTCATTGAACGTAGATGTCTTTTTGAAGCATGGAGCCATGGATGTTTGTTCTCTCTCTTCTTTTTTTCACATCATTACTCTGATACTGCTTGATTAGCTCCCTCCCCAGTCATGATTGGTAATTAAAATAGGCATTAAAATTAGTCACTTAGCAATTTTGCTGTTCAATTGGCAATTAAATTACTTAATTGCAATTAAAGTCCTAATTTTAATTGGCAAAATGATAGATGTAGATTTAAGATAATATGTATAAATACTTTAATAAGTGTCTATATAAGGATTACTTAATTACTCAACTTGAAGTTTATGTTGTTAACTTCAAAACTTTAAAATGAGCAATGAAATTTTATATTACATGGATTCTAAAGCTATGATAATTAGATATGTACCTAACAATATAAGGGCCCAACTATGTTAATTTCTATAATGTTGCAAATATAGCATGGGAAACCTTTTATAATAATCAACAAAGCATGTTGCTTATTTTAAAAGCACCATTTAAATCAAATCATACTCAAAAGTAAAAATGTCTTGGGGGGATTATGCAAATAATAGGGTAAAAGAGAGTTACTAAAACATGAGGGAAGTATTACTTTTGTCAAGAACTGTAACTGAAATAATATTCATGCATAAAGAGATTGTTGCTTTTTTGTAATTAACATTCATTCCATATTGAAATGTTGGCATCAGCAGAAATTGCAACTAATATTTAAACCTAAATCCTATAAATGTATTGTGTCTTTGGCGAACGGATAAAAAAATAAGAACTCCTGTATCTTTGATTAATTGCCCTAAACGGCATTCTGGCAGATTTATCATGGTATTTGGGGAGAGGGTAAAAAAGCACATAGTTAAATTCTTTTTTCAACTATTAATAGTCCAAGAACATTTTTTCCATTTTCCCTTGTGCACCTAACCTCCTTTGAAAGCATACTTTATCAATGTTAGTTTTCAGTTCTCATCAATATGGTTTTCAGAAAAAAGACAGGAAAGTTACTCCATTGTAGGTTAAAATACAGACACATGTTTTCTAAAAAATAAAATTATTCGTTATTGCTAACACAAACATATTATGATGTAATTTTCTTTTTATAGGCCATTATCACAGCCTTTCTGGTTTGATTTTGTTGTCTATCTTGAAATTTTCTTCATGCAAGATCCTGGGGGAAAGCTCATAACGGAGTGCATCTTAAATTGACAATCAATATTCTCAGCTCTAATATGGGTAAGGTTACCTACGCCATTTCTTCTGAAACAACATTTGAAGACTTTTTTTCATTTTCAGAACACTTAGAATCAGTTTGCATTAAACTAAGAGAAATTGCTTGTTTATTATGAACATTACAAACAAAAATAATTATTATTTATAACAACAAGCTGCATCATCCGTATTTCATTTATTCTTGGTATATAAATTAACTTGGTTGGTGTGAGAAGTAGCATTTTATTCATTTTGATATATTCCTAATCATAGTATTTCCCATGTACTAGAAATAAAAATCTCTGTGCCTCAAGCCTGTACTCATTGTCTTTTTAGTTAAATTCTTGAAATAACACAGACAAATAAATGTGCTTAGATCTCCAATATAAGAAATTAATTTGCTACCCATGTTGTAAGTAAATGTGTTCACATGCAGGATTCAATCCTAATTCCAGAAGTATTGTTAAATTATTATGAGCACTGTGTTTTTATATAATACTTTTCATTTAGACTTCCCTATAGCCACTTACATGAAAGTTTTTGAACAATATGATTTAGCACTGCATAAACATAGAGTAGTGCTTTTATATATTTTATTACATTCCCTTTTATAAGCTACAGATTTTATAATATAAAGCTTTGTAATGTTACAGAAGAGCCAGTTTGGTGTAGTGGTTAAGGCATCAGACTAGAAGCTGGAGGTGGTGAGTTCTAATCCCACCTTAGGCAAAAGCCAACTGGTGGACCTTGGACCAGTCACGCTTTCTCAGCCCTAGGAAAGAGACAATAGCAAACCACTTTTGAGGCAGTCTCTGAGAGTTGGACATGATTGAAGAGAAGAAAAAAAATGCTCTGTAGTTTTTTAAATTATGCAGGGCACCATCTAGTATTTGACAGAAAATCTGACCACAGAATCCCCCTTTGATTTTTTTAAAGGGAGACTGTAATTTAAAAATAACTCTTATGATATAAGGAACATATTTCCCACTTAGCAATCTTCTGCTACAAGTAAATGTGCAAATAACTTATATATCAATTGAGGTATATACTTAGCAACAAGAATAGAATAATTTTCTTATCCTCCTAAACTTGTTTAAATAAAACATAAACACAGAGGGATAACTTTTATTCATTTGTGAATCAATCTTGAATATTAATATTTTAACTGTAATTAATTTCCTATTTTTAAAAATTTATGTGTGTGTATGTTTGTGTACATATATATATGGCAGTGAAGTTAAGATGCTTACATAAATATATAGATTCTAAATTCCACAGGCCACACTAATTCTTATGTGTGTAGCATCTCTAAGGATTTAGAAAAAATATATAAAGGAATTAAAACGCCATGTCTATCACTAGCGTTCATGATGTAATATAGAAAAATAACATTATTTCAAGTACTTATATAGAAAAGATTTTTAATAGGATGCCACTTCCTTGAAATAAATAGAAACAGCTGGCCCTCTTAAAGCATACAACTATTTTGGAGCAAGCTATACAATACATTATTTTGCACATTGAAATGAAACTGTGGTTAATGGCAAAGGAAATTTCTACCGCAGGGGTGTCAAACTGCTGGCCCATGGGCTGGATGCATCATGGCGAAACTGCGCCCATCCCATTGCCGGCAATGGAAAAAAAGTTGCAATATGTCGCAACACGTCACGTGATGTTGAGAGTTTGACACCCCTGGTCTACTGACTCGAATCAACCTTGAATATTGAAGATAGAGGATTTTACATATCTAAACTGCCTTCAACAAATTATTGGAAATGATTACGCATTTATTTTAGAAAATACATACAAGTTTTACCAGTATTACTTCAAACGTTCTTGGTTATGTTGACTACACAATCCAGCCCCCTATTGACATGTTCGGGGAAAATGCAATACTAAATGATTCTAATTGGGCAATTTCAGAAGAGCTTTAGACTAATATAAAAGGATTGGGCTGTTTAGTTTTCATTCTTTTATAGTTCATGCTGTCCAAATTAATACTGCATTTTTGAGCAAAAATATTTAAAGTCTCAAAAATACATTCCATTATTTGGGCAATCATCAGAACAGGAGACACATTAGGGATGGCCTTGATCCATATGTGGAAGTTATTTGAGCCTCAAGGCAACCTCTCAGCTGGGCAACAGAAAACCAGATGACCACAAGATGGCATCAAAGAAACACTGAAAAACTATTTGCTGCCACCTAGTGATCCTCCCAGTACTGTACTTGCAGGTAGGCAGAGAGGAAAGGCCCCCCAGCAAATCTCCTGAGGCTTGTAGGACTCCCTTGCCATCTGATGCAGGACTGAGGCAGGGTGGAGGTAAAAGCAGAATCCCTGGCTTTTGCTTCATCCCTTCTTGTTTGTAGTCCTGTTCTTGGGTTACGGTGTGCGCTAAAATCCGTGCCATTCAGCGGAGAGAGACAGGCAGATCGATGGGCTGCCATCTAGTGGTCGCCCGTACTTTTGCAGCCCAAATGTAGTGGTCTTATCACAGGACGATCCGGAGCTTTCAAGGCGCGGGCGGCAAAGGAGAACTGGGGGTCACCTTGCCTGCGGACCCCAAGGCAGCTGCCTTTCCTCTCCATCGCTGCAGAGAATATTTTATGTCAGCCTGACTTTCCTTTGCAAAAAAAAGTGATGGGTCAAGCGAGAGAGAAAGTTATTTGCAAACTCCTCTCACACCCACGCTTATTAAATATGATTCCTAGTACGTGTTACTCTGAACAGGACTACATACTTTTCTGACACGGGTTTTGGCAGCATTAACAAAGGGGGAAGCGAGTTAGCGCTGCCCGTGGGTGCCCAAACCCTTCTCTTTGGAGCAGCTTCAGAGAGCGAGAGAGAAGAAAGTTTTCAATCTCGAAACACAGCGCCCAGGAAAAGGTTTAAAAATAACCCCCCTTTGGCTGCTTTCGAGTTTCCGATTCGCAGAGCCTTAAAATAGCCCGGCCCACTCTCAGGCTGTTGCTTCCCGCTCTCAGCGCAATGGAGCAGGCACCAACGGGGCAAGCTGGGCGCCGCGGTTGCTATTTTTGGAGCATCCCGAGCCTGTTGCGTCAATGGCACCGTCCCCTTGCGTCACGCGCCACCCCGCCCCTCTCCGCCTTCCCTCCTCCCAACTCTCACTTTTTCCTTTTCGTGCGCTTCAGCCCACGGACGGCGGCGGCGGGCGGCGGCGGCTGACGCGGCTGCGCTCATGCAAATAAGCTCGAGCTTTCCTCCTCCCAGCCCTCTGGCTGCCTCGCGCCAGGGTCAGCAGCCGGAGGAGGAGGACTTAAGGTGGCGGCTCAGGGTTCTTCCCGCCTCCGTTTCCAAGCTTTGTCCCCAAAAACCCTCCCTCTATTTATAGGATTCCTAAAAATAGCTCGCGGGGGGGGGGGCAGGGAAGTTTCCTGTCTGGGAGGGGAATCCCATTGACTCAAGGGTTCTTCGAAAGTTCAGGAAAGGAAGGAGACATTTTTAGGAAGAGGTGGAAATCCTAATGGATTGGCCTATTTGCAAAAAGAAGCACAACTCTTCTGAATTCCCGGAAAAGGAGCTAAGGGGAGCCAGAGAGCGCTAACTGCCCCCAAATAAATTCGGAGATAAACGCCTCTCTTTAAGTCTGTGCTGACTTGGAAACAAGCCCTGGGGAGATGAGTAGGGTTTACTTTCAAATCAACCTGCACAGGATCTACCTTCACGGGATCACTATGGGAAGTGGGGTGGGGTGTAGCAGTGCAACCCTAAACCTTATGACGCGCGTGCCCCATTAACCCCAGTGGTGGCGCTGACTTCAAAGGAGACGTCCATAAGGTTGCTGAACATCTATTCACCTTCTTAAGTTACTTTCCGTATCCTCAGTTAATCTTTTTGCCCCTTCACCTGCAAGATCCCAAATCGGCAGCCAAAGCAAGTTCAATTGAGCGGGGGGAGGACGCAAATTTTCTCCTCTAAAAAGGCTGAGGGTGGGCACGCGGGGGGGGACGGGCAAGGGAACAGCAAACGCGTCGCCTGCCTAAAGCCCCCTAACCCTCAGGCTGTTGGGAAGGATCGCGGGAATACGCACCCCCATTTCTTATCTTCAGAGCCCGCTGGTTCGTCGATTACCTGAGTGGGTTGCAATCTCCACGCTATTTTCTGGCAAACACGCAGGCATTCCGGCGACGTTTCCCACAGACACAGCAAAGGATCCTTGGAGCTTCGCTGCTTTTCCTGCCCATCTACACGGAAGTAACTCCCACTGGTTCCGCTGAGGGTTCACCCCAGATCAGAGCACTCGGAGTAGTAGGACTAAGCGATTCCTTCAGGGCTGCAATGATTCTGACCCACGCGCACGCCTTGGACTTTGACTATGAACCTGTTTCCTACTCAGCTGCAGAAACGGGACTGTATACAGTTCGGTTGTATGCCTATAAGGTGGCAAAATACTAATGTTTAGAATCTAATTTACATACCGAATATCTCTCTCTCTCTCTCTCTCTCTCTCTCTCTCTCTCTCTCTCTCACACACACACACACACACACACACACACACACACACACACACACACACACACACAGAGTGTTTTTCCCTCCAACTATAATAGCTTCCGTGGGCGGTTTTTTTTTTAAGCAGTTGCAGAGCAACGGAGGGAGAGGGGGGAGGCGAGAGAAGTATGCTTCGGGACGTAAATCGGGCTGGGAACGATTGTGCAACTTGTTGAGTGCGTTGTCTCTGCTTTAAAAGGATGGACTGGGTGCGTCAATACATTCCTGTCTTTTTACCTGTAAAATGCCTTCTGCAGAGAATGCCGCCGAGATAAGGCGGTACTTGGGGAGGGACGGCTAAGAAGTCTCAATTCTAGACAGATTTTAAGATAGATGGACATCCCACGTAAGTTGCCAGGGACTATTGTAACGTTCGCTCTGAACGCGAACATACCTGGAAAACACACACACCTGTTTCGCGTGAGGAGAAAGTATAATGTGGAAAAAAGATACTCGGGGCCATGAGAGGGAGGCAGGCAGAGCGCGCGGTGGATTGACAGCGCCTAGGGATTCTTGGACCAATTTATGACAACAGGGAGGGCGGGGAGAGAAAGGGAGTATTCAGGCTTTGTTTACAGTTCCGGGTGCACCAGCCCAGACCAGGGAGGGGAGAAGCAAAAGGACCGGGGGTCTGCCCCTAATTTGGCGAAAGCTGCGCCAAGGTGAAGGCAGGCGGCGAGAGCCGTTTTCCCACCTTAAAAGCGCCACTCTTGGTGATGTCACGTCGGAAATTTACCAAAGCCAGATCTAGCCAACTGTACCGAGAGATCCAGCCCCTTGACTGGCTGATTGGGCAGGCG